CATTGAAGATCAACAAGAGCTCATTCGATCGCGCAATATTTTGTTGCAACCATTGCCCTTCATTTATTCAAAATCAACCCATAAAAGAATACTTAAGAAGGGTGCAAGAGAGACACATGGTCAATGTATGGCATATTGATATTACTTGTACCACTCAAACTCCAAGTGGAGAGAGAATTACAGATTTCAGAGTCAAAAAACAACAATAGAATCTTTTTTAGAGGCTTATAACTCCATAATCTGCTATAGCTTTTAATGTAATGAAATAAACAACATAAAGCTCATGGAAATCCCGAAAGAGCTATTTCTCAGAATTAAGCACAACAGAGTAGAACAATCAAGAAGATACAAGGTGATACCTAATGTACAATGATAACTTACAATATCAGAAAAGCAAGGTCCAGTCTATAACTGATAGGAACTACTCTGGAAGTTAAAAGAACGGAGATACTTACGATTTTTGGTTGAACTTACTAAGACCATCTCCAAGTGGAATCTCACCAACCAAAAAATTGGTAGAAACATTGCTTCAAATTCAAGAAATAAAAGAAAAAGTCAATGACCGACACTGACAATGAACCAACAACAATCAATAATTGAAGATAGATTATATCAGTTCAAGTAAGAACTTACAATGTTGAAAGTTTTGTCAAATTCCCAAGTGAAGAGGGAATGGAACCACTGAGACTGTTGCTGGAAATGTCACTGAAAACTCAATCAGAAAGAAGACAGACACAAATATCAGAATATTGCAGTAAAATCAGCAAACCTCTTTTAAATTGAAAAGCTATAAAAATAACTCTTTAACAAGTTTGAATGGAAAACACTCTGAGGATGCTCCCATGAACTCAGTTACGGTAATGCCAATAGAGGAATAGCAAAAAGGCATATGAAAAAGAACTGGATTAGAGAAAAAGGGAAATCATCAATTGGTAGGACACATCAATTGGTAGGATGGACCTTCGATTAAGCTGCAACATCATGAATAAAATATATTTCTATCTCGAACCCAACCAGTAAATTGAAATAGATAACTCATGTTTGAATGGACTTCTGAAGGTTATGAAGATCTATTCATCATAATGTGAAACCTTGTGCATCTTAAAGAAGAAGTAAAAACAACTCACTTTGACACAATCATATACTGAAGAACATTCCAGCTCACAGGAAAATCAGATCAATCTCTGATTGCACACAGCAAAGAAGACATATCCACTTTTTTACATGAGGATGTAATGTGCAAATTTATTAAAACAATAATGATTACTCACAGAATTTTCAGCTCCAAAAGGCTCCCGAACTCAGTAGGAATAGATCCACTTAAAAAGTTGTCCTGCAAATACCTGACAAAGTTCATTGAACAAAACAAGGAACTGACGGTTAAAACATGTAGGCGTTAATGTAATAGCAACATATCAACAAGGAAATATACCCCATTAGTACAGAAGCTGCACATGTATAAAACAAGCAGCGTAAAAATGGTTCCTTTCACTTTATCCGAAACCAGTCAGAGCACTTACAAAGCTCTAAGGTCAGTGCAGTTCCCCAATCCTGAAGGAATAGTTCCATATAAGTTATTGTCATGAAGAGCTCTGGAGTAAGAAAACAGCATGAACGTTACAAACATATCCCTCGAGAAGAAAAACAGCGATGGTTTAGTAAACACACTCAAGCTATGAAGAAGACTGACTGCATTATCACTGAGAAAATGCCATGATGGAAATAAGTTGCACATAAATGGTAATAAAACAACCCAACATCCAATAGCAAGTAATGCAGCATACAAGTAGAAAACTAGATATATAGAAACAGCTCCTAATATTATCACAAGGGAATACTTACAATCTTCTTAGGTGGGTTAGCTTCCCAATATCAGGCGATATGTAACCACGCAACTTATGGAATGGAAGACTCCTGGTAGGAGACATTAAGTTCCATTTAAATATATTACAAAGAGAGTGTGCACAAGAAGCACAAAGTGAAAGCACAATAACAGGTTTGCCCTTGTGAGCAAACCAACATGGGGTTCAATTCTGGAGAGAAGCCCAATATAAGTCTAGTTAACCAACCCACTTCCAACTGCATGAAATGCATGGCCTTGAGGCAATATCCAGGCAAAATAGCATTTGCAAGGGAACAAAAGATCATAACTGAAACATATAAGCAATGTGCAACTTTAATGGATGAAAAAAATCTTAAAACTTTATAAATGTGTATTTTTTTTTTTTTTTTTTTTTTTTGGGGGTAATTCAATGGGGAAGACTACCCATTTTTTCAAGTAGATTAGGGATTAGCTTTTTGAAGGTGTTAGTGGTGGGAATGGAAACCACAATTTGGTGACTGGGGTGTGGGGTGCTACCACCACGACCTTAGCCCCTTTCCCAATCAGAAATACTGTAGAACACTCAAGATGCTCACATCTTGTCCAAAACAGAACTTTCGTCCAAATTAATTTGCCATTTCTCAAATCACGATCACTAATTTTTTGAAAGTTAACAGTATTACTACTCGTATAGATCACCCGCTTTCCAATAATTGGTATTCAAACTTACAAGAAGATCACACGCTTTTCCTTGTCACAAGTTACTCCTTTCCAGCCACATGGATCTGGATCTGATTCTCTCCATTGAGCAAGGATACCATCTGAATCACTAATTGCTGACTTGATACTAATTAAAACAACACCTGCAGTTGGCAAGTTGAATAATGTGATACAAAATTGACGAGTTGAAGAAAGCATGAAATATTATGAATTACGAATAAACTCATGTAGTCCCAATGTAACTCTAATAGTTAAATGCTAAATAGCATATTGGTACCAGGAACATCTGCTGATCTGCGTAAATCAGTGGGCCAGAAACTTGAAATGTTATGTCAGTACCGTAACTACACACTTTTTCCAAAGACAGTTTTGCGCTTTTGCCCCTGATAGTTTTTAGTACATTAGATGAAAGGAATCAATCTCAAAAGACTATATTACCACTAGATCTTTCTTTCAAAGAAATAGTATTATTTTATTTTAAATAGAGAACAAAAGAGGGTAAAATGTTAAAAAATACAAAATACAGATAACATCTTGTCATCCATATTACTAACTCTTGCTTGTCCAGTGCTTTAAGCACGAACCACACATAGTCATGTATATAGAAAACAAATAGTTCAACTACTGAGTAGTATTATGTTTCTAGCTCGACAATCTACGGAGGTGTTTCAGGTACCAATATGATGTTTTCCATTATAGAACAGCTTGAATGATCATACCATCGGGATTCAGTGCTATGCTTGTCTCAACAAGAACAAAAACCAGCAAGAGTAATAGTAGCATCAACTCTGAAAATTTCATTGCATGAAGAGATGCCCATTCATTACATGTTTTTTCAGCTTCAACCAAAAAGCCACCAATATTACTGGGAAAATCTCTTCCCAGACCAGACATTGGAAATGCCCAACATATGGATTGGCACAAGAGGACAACAGAAGCAAGGGCATGTGTGCCTGTGAAAGAAGAAAAAAACGTTAAACAAACAAGTCACAAAATCATGGAGATTCATAGATAAAATAATAAATATTAAATAGAGATGTACCTCAATGAGCTTCAGCATCCGATAATTCTAAGTGAAACCTGCTTCTTCGATGAGGATAAGTATTCTCATTCAGATGACCTCCTGCATTATCATATTAGTTTATTTCTAAGGTGAATTCAGAAATAAAAGACAAAGGAAAATTTAAACCATAAAGCTAATCACTAGTGAGCAACACTGGTGCATTCAACATTACCCATAATGAAATAGTGAAGAACTCAAGCAGCCATAAATATCCTATATTATGCTAATAAACTCTGCTCGCTTAAAAAATCAAAAAAATCCTACTCAATTCTAGGCGCACAAATGAAAATCCGACAAAAATCAAATGTAACGACTATCATCAACTATATGAACGATAGCACAAAACCCATTGAATCCCAACCCGATATTGAAATTACTCTGCAAGCATCTATGCATGATGCAGGGGATTGATTCTATCAGGAAACATAAAAAATAAAAAACAAAAAGTAAAATGAAATAAAACTGTGGTGGATTGACTCCAAGCCAACATATATGAAATGCTTAGTTCTTACCTCTTGATTCAGAAAAATGCTTTTAACTTTCAATTATAAATCTTGAGAGCTGGCCATAACCACTAAAATATTGAGATGAATAATTCTAGCAAAATCACCAAAGAAAGCCCAATTGCTCCATCACTCAAAAGCAAATAAACCAAACATAGCAATAATCTACAAGCATTACGTTTAGTGCATTCCTAAACCTACGACTTATCCCACTGCACTACTAAATTACTGAGCTCTGAATAAACTCAAATAAACCTCAGTTCAGTGTTTTCCTAACCCTAAAATTTATCCCACAATGCTACTAAATTACTGATCTGAGAATGAACTCAAATAAACCAGCATTCAAAGACCGGTAATCACATAAAAATGTAGACAATAAAAAAGGAATGAGCATGATACCTGGAACCAGATCTGGTGAATTTGACCTGAGGCATTTCAAAACAGAGCTGGACGTGAACCACAGCACAAGCCACCTGAAAAATGATGATTATAGAGCCTCAATCAATCCAGTAAGAGAGAATTTCAAGTAATGCCAGATCTCAGAGCTTCAATCAAAACCACAACATAAACCAGGAAACAAAGGCCATGAAAAAACTCATATTTAACCAGAAAAGGAGGATTGCAGCAAAACAGTGCTCACCAACAAAACAGAGCATAACCAGCTCAAAATTGGTAGCAAAACTCAATAACAGTTTATTGAACCTAAAGCAATATCCAAGCTTCAAGCTTGACATAGAACTTTGGCATAGCCCAACTAAACAATGGCGATTGATAAAACCCTAGATCACACCAGTTGAATACTTCTATAGCACTGCGGCATAATTCATCTTGCAAACACCTTGTATCGATTGAATGGTGCTATAGCAATGCAGGACGCTCAACTGATAAATAGCGTTGCAGAGAATCTCAGATAAACCCTAGATCACATAATTCCACTGAAAATGGGCCCGGAGGAAGGCTAAGCGTTCGATCAAAAGCCAGTTAAGTGGGAAGGCATGCTGCACTGTACTGTCAGTTGCTAGCGAACATTCTGCAATAAAGCGTCGGCAGTGCACGAGATGTGTATAGTTAGTAGCCTAGGCAAGTAATGTTGAAATATTCAACCCAAAAAACCGTAAAAAAAACTGAACAGATTATGCTCACAAACTTATAAGTAGATGGTATGAAATTTGATAGCTACGGTGTGTCACAACCTGCAGAATAAAAATTTGAAATTTTCACTTTAATCAATGAAATAAATATAACTATCCAATTTCACATTCAATGGCTAATATTAATTGTAACAACGTTAGAGCTTGGTCGAAAAAATAAATACAACCACTAATTTCATATCTACTTATCAATATTAATTGTGAGTATTTTACACTAAAGGTAAATAATCTCATTATATACTTCTTCAGAAAACAAATACTTTTAAAGGAAAATAGTTTGATACAAAACCCCACCTCTTAACTCATTGAAAATTGCTGTTTAAGCACCATAAAATGTTTACATCGATCATCTCGGCTGGAACATTATGATTATGAAATAAATTAGGATTTCAAATTCTAAAAATAATTTATATTTTAACAAATTTTCTACCTCTATTTCATCTTGCAAATAAGTGTTCACATATTGACCAAAGATGTCTAGTCAAAATCAGACCAACCAATAAATCTACCAAAATTTGGTTTGAGTGTCGACGTGCACGAAATTTTAAGAACAAATGAAAATAAAAAGGCAAAATTTTATATAATGATGCAACCTTATAATGTAGAACTACGGATGCACCTCAAAAATTCTTTGGAAAATGTAGTTTTAACGTTGAAAAACCCTTTGATTGATCATCAGATGTATGACCATGAAAAATAAAAAGATTTTAAGTCTCATAAATAGTGCATTAAATTTTGAGATAATTTTAATAACATTTTACATCAAAATTATATACCGTGATAAAATTTGAAGGTGCCCCTTACCTTTACAATTACGGATGCATCCGTATATCAATTGCACCCAAAGAAAAATATGAATACAATTTAGAAAAGGTAAAAGTTCATACAAGGTGTCATCCTTATATTTTATAAATAAAAAGCACCTAAAAAACCCACTAAAAAAGGTTGTTTCTAGGTTGGAAGCACGTGGTACTCCAATAGTATAAGGTTGAGACCTTATACAAACCTCACCTTTTAGAGAATAGCAGAGGTTGAAATTTCCATAAAGCCTAAGCTCTATGAAAACAAAATAAAGCTTCACCTCAAATCCTCATCCAAACTTTCGGTAATGAAAGTTTTCATAATGGCTCTAAAATTATTTTTCAACACCGATAGTGAATTTTGAAACTCAACAGATAGTGTAGATCTTACGGATATGTGAACACTTATTTTTAGGGTGAAATAGATGATTTAAATAATTGTTCATCACATAAAATAGTTACACATTTACAAAAAATAAAATAAAGATTTCAAGCCCTAAACATAATGTCTATTGCAACACATCTACGCCATCAATTTCACTCAAAAAATAAGTGTTCATAGATATGCAAGACCCTAACACATCTACACTGTTAATTTCACCCAAAAAATAAGTGTTTATAGATATGCAAGATCTATATATTTTTTGAAAAATATCTCCATATCCTCTATTTTTAGGTTTCATTTATTGATAAACCCAAAATTTCAAAAGATATATTCTAACCCTTTGGCCACTTTAAATAAATTTTTTAACCTAAACAAATGTAAGAAAGACATAGCTATTTTTAAATCCAATCATTTATCTCTCTTCACATAAATACCCCAAAATTATTTTTCTCTCTCTCTCTTATTACGTCTTGCACTTTCTCTCTCCTCCCCGTATTTTGGAGCCTCTCTCATCTCGATAACTTCTGACCTTTATGAACCTCTTATCTCTCTAGAAGTTTAGGATGATGGCTTTTAGAAAATGTATATCTTTTAGATTTGTTTGGCCTAAAAAAACATGTTTAAATTAGCTCAGGGGTTAAAAAAATAAAATTTACAATTTTATGTCCCAAGATATATTTTAAAATTTTAGATCTAGTGTGAAATGAAATCTAAAAATATAAAGTATGGAGATATTTTATCTATATATATTTTTTTAGCTTCAAATTTGATAGTCTTATTGAAATTTGATTTTAGAGGGATTTTCAGTGTTTAAAGTGCTTTGGCAAGGACTCGAGATAGAGATTTACTTTGTTTTTATAAAGCCTTATAGAAACCATCATTTTCAAAATTAAATAAAAATTTAAGGGGAAAGGTTTATATAGAGCCGAAGCTCTAAACAATCAAATTAAAGCCTACCTAAAAAATTTTACGTTATTTTGATGTTCAAATATTTTCAAATTGATCGTCTCAACATGGAGAGGCATGAATGTGGAAAAAAAATGGGTTTAAAGTTTTAAAAATCGTATATTTTATAAAACATTTTTTTACTGTAAATTTTCAAGATTTTCAAATTTTTATTTTATATTTAATGATGAAAATCTATTTTTAACGCTATGCCTTTCCGGTATAAAACCACATTCCTCGACAAGGTATGCTCTAATTCGATTGTTTAGAGCCCAGACTGCGTACAAACAGAACCCAAAAATTAAAGCATTCAACACTTCGTTACGGAGTGTGGTTTTGAATCTTTTGATAAATTTATTTTCGTACGCGCCAATTGTCCTTACGGAGTTTTGTTTTGAATTCTTTTGATAAATTTATTTTCGTACGCGCCATTTGTGGTCTAAAAATAGTGCGAAAATGATTCCCTCGTTGCAGCTCTCAAATTGCAGAGTCCTGTTACCTTGTCCCATCAAGCTCAAACAGGTGAAAGAAATAAAATTTCAGCAATTTTTTTCTCTTAGTTCAGTTCATTTTTCTCCTGATTAGAACTCAAGGGCTTTTCTTTTCTGTAGTTTTCACCCTCGATTCACTTCATTCTTCCACTGAAACGAATTCCAGGTCTTATTTTATCTGTCATTTCTAACCTAACTATTTTCTCTAGCATGGTGAATCAGCTCTTTTCATCAGTTCTAGGGCTTCCAAGCCCGCTTTTATGGGGGCATTTTCTTCAGAGAACGGGGTGCATTCCCACTTGCCAGTGAATGGAAATGACCTGGTAAGCTCTTAAAGAATTTTAGTCACTTTGAGTTCGTATGCCAACCCCAATTAATGACGACATTGAGTTCGTATCAGGATCAAAACCATTTTTTATGGGGCGAAATTTTTGAGTTTTAGACTACATTGCAAGCTTCAAGTGGAAAACAAGAAGTGGAATTTGATTTTGCAGTAAAAATGATCCCTGATTTTTATTAATAATTTTTCAGGAATTTGATTTTGTTTTTTGTTTAAGTTTGATGTCCATAATTTTTGTGGACTCTCAGCCATCTGGCCTTGATTGTTTCGTCAGAGAAAAGAAAACCTTGTTTTTTCTTCAACAAATTGGATGTTTATTGGCTATTGTGTACCGAATTTCAGCTTTGCCTTGGTTTCATTATGGCTGATTTACTTAAACTTCGAGCTATTTTTAGGATAGTGGCCTAAATTTTTATTCTGTTTTACATATTGTTTCTTAAATTTATTTGTTTTTTAAGGGGCAATATTCTCAAACTGTAAATTGATTAATTATGTTCATTCTTGTTAAGGTTAGGCCACTGAGACCTCAAATTCTCTTGATCCTTCGGTTGCCTGTGAAGGTAAGTACGACATTGTGAGTCTTAAAAATAGATGAACTTGAAATGGTTTAGAATTTTACAAAGCTACTCTCCTTCAGTTCGTCTTAGTGCTCGATCATCTTTGTTCAGACTTAAATTTTATATGAATGTTATGAATTTCTAGCACATTTATTACAAGTTCATGGTCTGCTTTATTTGCTAATGTTTGCATATTTATTCACTTCAGATTCAAAACAAGCTAATGAAACACGGTCAACACAATCAAATTCGTCGAAGGAGTAATCATCGTCTTCATTGATTCATTTGGTCAAAACCCATGATATTGATTATTCCAGTTGTTGGTTTAGTTTATGTTTTTCATTTAAACAAACAGAGCAGGGATATCACCATCACACCCAACTAACACTGATTGTAAATTTGTTCACTGGGTGTTATGGTATTTTTTCTTGCTTTTTGTTTCAATGAAAATGAGTTGTGGTGAATAGATCATCCTTATCATTATCATAATCATTTGAGCGATTTCCCAATTATTTGGGTGAATACATCATCATCAGAGTCTTTTCCCAACCATTTGGGTGAATACATATCAAACTAAATTTCTATATTCTTAAACATATTTTTGTTTTATTGAATTTTTTTAGGGCAATTTTTAAAAAAAAACTGCACGTTTTCTCAGGTTGATGGAGCGGCTTAAGAATTATGGAGTTTCTGGGGTGCTCTCCTATGGATTACTGAATACAGCATATTATCTCACAACGTTTATATTGGTTTGGTGAGTGCATACTTGCAAGAGTGGAAATTTTTGTGAGCCCAAAATTGTCATAATATTGATCTTTGGGCTGCCTGATCCGAGTAAATAGATTAACGGAAACAGATTAGAACGACCTCAACTTGTAAGTTATATTTCAGAAAGAAATGGTTAGTCCTATTCCATAAGATAAAATGCATAGAGCATTATCCATCGTGTACAACAAGGTTAGGATTTTCAGCATGTGCAAAAACCCTGTTTGAGTTCCGGGGTTTGTTGTGGCATGTGATGTTTATAATATTGTGTTAATTGTATACTTCTTTTAAGACTTTGTTAATTTGTTTATGTGTAGTCTTACAAGCATGACTATTTTTACCAATTTGAATGAAATTATTGCCAGTGACTAAGATATATGATAAATGCTTAATGAGTACTTGTATGATTGCATTTGTATTTTAAATATATGCTATTTAATTTGAAGGATACTTTTGAGAAATGTTCATTTTCCTCTAAGGTTCTATGTTGCTCCGGCTCCTGGAAAAATGGGTTATGCTGCTGCTGTTGAAAGGTAAGATTTTTAAAATGGGATATTTATACATCTGTTATACAAATCAAATGGGTCATGGTTCTCAGTTCTTATTTACTTTTTAGTATTGGAAATAGCTATGTTTGCTGTGATTTTGGGAAGCCTGAATTTTGCAGGTTCCTGAAACTAATGGCAATGGTGTGGGCAGGGAGCCAAGTTACAAAGATTGCTAGAGCTGGAGGGTGGGTTTCTAAATGCTGATATGAAAATTTGGTTGAGCCTGGCTATTTCTTTGAAATAAAAACGATATATAGGGGTAATTGCATTACGATATATCAGATAGTGAAAGTTGTTCCATGTTTTGAAGAGAAGCATATGTTATTTTGAAAGCATATGTCATTTTTTTCTGCCTTTTCTTTTTGTGTTTGTGTGTGAGATAAAGAATATGTTTTTTTTTGTGTACTCAATGCTCTATTTCAAGAAGGGGAAAATATTCAATTTAAAAAAGAAACATGAAGCAGACTATTTCATTTCTGGAACTGCCCAAGGAACTGGTCACTCTTTTGACACTTTTATTGTTCTTGTGCAGGGCATTGGTTCTTGCACCTTTTGTAGATAGAGGTTTGTCATGGTTCACTAAGAAATTCAGGTTCTCCTCAAGGGGAAAGGTATTTTACTCTGATTTTACTCCATTGCTTCAAACTGTCACTTTGTTTAATTTTTGGTTACCTGATCAAAAAAGGGGTTCTGATCCACTTACCTATAACTCTTTTATCATCTTTGACCTGTCTGTTCTCTCTCTATTTCTCTCCCACTCTCTCTCAGGCATTTGCAGCCATTGCTGGGATCTGTTTCGGGTTGGCTCTTTTGTTGTTCATTGTGGTAACTGTTCTTTGTGCATAGAATGGTTGTAAATTATCATTTCTCTATCAAGTTCTTGATTTTTTTCTTGGCAAGGTTGGGTTGATGAGACCTGCTTTCTTCATTTTATTCTCTTCTGCACAGAAGATGTACGTTTTAAAGGCACAACACTAACCTCACATCCATGCCCAGTTGAGTAATTTATACTTCACAAAGCAGGATATTTCCCTCTCTCTCTCTC